ATACATATACTTGCGTAGAATCCCTAAAAATATAATTGAAATCTTACTTTGCTTGGGATCAATTTTTTGGTGTCATTATCGGGGATTAAAATCTTCAAGTAAGGGTGTCAACTTCTTAAATTCTACATATAAAAAAAATATAGGGATCAACCAACCCTAAATCAAAATTAAAATTTTGATGAAGAGGTTGCTGCATATCATCAGGACACCATTTTCCTACCAGAAATTGATGTACCTGTCCCAAATCCCATATAAACATGTTTTCAGCTTATTGTATGACTTTGAGGAGATTGACCCAATGTTTAGAGTCACCAGTTTTCCTGACTCCCTGATTGGGGTGAAGTCCTTTGCAGTATTTACCCATGAGAAATTTGACCCAGAGAGAATCTTGCTGCCCAAACTTTATCCAAAGCGTATAGAGATTAATATGTTGTAGCTGAGGAAGCCCTTTAAAGCCCAAACCCGCATCAGCAGTTGGCCTTGCAACTTTCTACAACCTAGCTTGGTGGAACTGTTTTCTTATCCAGGACCATAAAAACCTATTGAAGTATCTCTCCAAATGAAGTTGAGTTATTTTCTTCATGCCAAACATTCGTAAAATGTATTGTGGGAAGGTGGTTAATATGCTCTTGAGTAGAGTGATTCTACCCCCATTTGAAAGAAAGGAATTTGTCCAGCAGTTAAGCTGGGCATCGATCTTGATGATGTCCTTGTCAAATTGAATCTGCTTAACCCTTCCTTTGATAAGAGGGACACCAATAGTTAAAGAAAGGTGAAGCAATAGAAAAGCCAGTTACTTGTTGCACCCACTGTTTAAGGTGATCCTTTGTTCTGCAGCTAAACAGTAAGGTGCATTTGGTAGAACTAAATTAAATGCTAGAGCACTGTTGGAATACCTCTAGATAATGAATAATTTACTTAACGATAGGTTTAGTGGACTTGGAAAAAAGAATTATTTCATCTGCATACAGGAGATGGCTAATAGGCAGATTAGACTTATGATGATACAAATTTGATGCATTAGAGGAAATTGTGCTGTCAGCCACCTAGAGAATTGATGCATTAGAGGAAATTGTGCTGTCAGCCACCTAAAGAATTAGTCCATAGCCAAGATGAAGAGAGTGAGGGAGAGTGAAACACGATACTTAAGGCCTCTATTTGCAGTGAAGAACCCATGAGCCCTGCCATTGATGAGAATAGAATTCCCATTACCTTTCAACCATCTGGCTATAAGCTCATAGGAAGTAGAGGGAAAACTTCTGGCTCAAAGAGTATTCAATATGAAATCCTAAATGGTATCATAAGCTTTCATGACATCAAGCTTATAGATTAAATTTCCTCCTTTGCAAGGACTACCAATATGAGTTAGAAGCCCTTGAGCCAGTAAGACACTATTACAGATGCTTCTCTAAGAGATAAAATAGTCTGATTAGGCCTAATTATCTTGGATAGATGGGGCTTCAATCTATTCACCAAAATCTTACTAATAATTTCACTGAAGATAGTTGTGAGAAAGATTGGTCGGACATGCTGCCAATGAGAGTTTTTAGATGATTTGGGAACCAAAAATATGTTGGAAGCAACAAAATAATTAGGTAGAACATTCCCCCTAAAGAAGGACTGAATAACTTTTATCACAACATCA